GGGCAAAATTTGATTTTGCTCTAAAATAAAAAATTGTAAGGGGTTAACCTTGTATTTTGACCAAATTAAGGCAAATTTAGATTTTTCTCTAAAATGAAAAATTGTAAGGGGTTAACCTTGTATTTTGATCAAATGAGGGCAAATTTAGATTTTTCTCTAAAATTAAAAATTGTAAGGGGTTAACCTTGCATTTTGATGAAATTAGGGCAAATTTTGATTTTGCTCTAAAATTAAAAATTGTAAGGGGTTAACCTTGCATTTTGATCAAAATAGGGCAAAATTTGATTTTGCTCTAAAATTAAAAATTGTAAGGGGTTAGCCTTGTATTTTGACCAAATTAAGGTAAATTTAGATTTTTCTCTAAAATGAAAAATTGTAAGGGGTTAACCTTGCATTTTGATCCAAATTGGGCAAATTTTGATTTTTCTCTAACATTCAAAATTGTAAGGAGTTAACCTTGTATTTTGACCAAATTAAGGCAAATTTAGATTTTTCTCTAAAATTAAAAATTGTATGGGGTTAACCTTGCATTTTGATCCAAATTGGGCAAACTTTGATTTTTGTGAAAAACATAAAAATTGTAAGGGGTTAGCCTTGCATTTTGACAAAATAAGGGCAAATATTGATTTTTCTCTAAAATTAAAAATTGTAAGGGGTTAGCCTTGCATTTTGACCAAATAAGGACAAATTTAGATTTTTCTCTAAAATTAAAAATTGTAAGGGGTTAGCCTTGCATTTTGACAAAATTAGGGCAAATTTTGATTTTTGTGAAAAACTTAAAAATTGTAAGGGGTTAGCCTTGCATTTTTGACAAAATAAGGGCAAATATTGATTTTGCTCTAAAATTAAAAATTGTAAGGGGTTAACCTTGTATTTTGATGAAAATTGGGCAAATTTTGATTTTTCTCTAAAAATGAAAATTGTAAGGGGTTAACCTTGCATTTTGATCAAAATAGGGCAAAATTAGATTTTTCTCTCAAATTAAAAATTGTAAGGGGTTAACCTTGCATTTTGATGAAATTAGGGCAAATTTTGAAATTGCTCTAAAATAAAAAATTGTAAGGGGTTAACCTTGCATTTGATCAAAATAGGGCAAAATTTGATTTTGCTCTAAAATAAAAAATTGTAAGGGGTTAACCTTGCATTTGATCAAAATAGGGCAAATTTAGATTTTTCTCTAAAATGAAAAATTGTAAGGGGTTAACCTTGTATTTTGATCAAATGAGGGCAAATTTAGATTTTTCTCTAAAATTAAAAATTGTAAGGGGTTAACCTTGCATTTTGATGAAATTAGGGCAAATTTTGATTTTGCTCTAAAATTAAAAATTGTAAGGGGTTAACCTTGCATTTTGATCAAAATAGGGCAAAATTTGATTTTGCTCTAAAATTAAAAATTGTAAGGGGTTAGCCTTGTATTTTGACCAAATTAAGGTAAATTTAGATTTTTCTCTAAAATGAAAAATTGTAAGGGGTTAACCTTGCATTTTGACCAAATTAAGGCAAATTTAGATTTTTCTCTAAAATGAAAAATTGTTAGGGGTTAACCTTGTATTTTGATCAAATGAGGGCAAATTTAGATTTTTCTCTAAAATGAAAAATTGTAAGGGGTTAACCTTGCATTTTGATGAAATTAGGGCAAATTTTGATTTTGCTCTAAAATTAAAAATTGTAAGGGGTTAACCTTGCATTTTGATCAAAATAGGGCAAAATTTGATTTTGCTCTAAAATTAAAAATTGTAAGGGGTTAGCCTTGTATTTTGACCAAATTAAGGTAAATTTAGATTTTTCTCTAAAATTAAAAATTGTATGGGGTTAACCTTGCATTTTGATCCAAATTGGGCAAACTTTGATTTTTGTGAAAAACATAAAAATTGTAAGGGGTTAGCCTTGCATTTTGACAAAATAAGGGCAAATATTGATTTTTCTCTAAAATTAAAAATTGTAAGGGGTTAGCCTTGCATTTTGACCAAATAAGGACAAATTTAGATTTTTCTCTAAAATTAAAAATTGTAAGGGGTTAGCCTTGCATTTTGACAAAATTAGGGCAAATTTTGATTTTTGTGAAAAACTTAAAAATTGTAAGGGGTTAGCCTTGCATTTTTGACAAAATAAGGGCAAATATTGATTTTGCTCTAAAATTAAAAATTGTAAGGGGTTAACCTTGTATTTTGATGAAAATTGGGCAAATTTTGATTTTTCTCTAAAAATGAAAATTGTAAGGGGTTAACCTTGCATTTTGATCAAAATAGGGCAAAATTAGATTTTTCTCTCAAATTAAAAATTGTAAGGGGTTAACCTTGCATTTTGATGAAATTAGGGCAAATTTTGAAATTGCTCTAAAATAAAAAATTGTAAGGGGTTAACCTTGCATTTGATCAAAATAGGGCAAAATTTGATTTTTCTCTAAAATAAAAAATTGTAAGGGGTTAACCTTGCATTTGATCAAAATAGGGCAAATTTAGATTTTTCTCTAAAATGAAAAATTGTAAGGGGTTAACCTTGTATTTTGATCAAATGAGGGCAAATTTAGATTTTTCTCTAAAATTAAAAATTGTAAGGGGTTAACCTTGCATTTTGATGAAATTAGGGCAAATTTTGATTTTGCTCTAAAATTAAAAATTGTAAGGGGTTAACCTTGCATTTTGATCAAAATAGGGCAAAATTTGATTTTGCTCTAAAATTAAAAATTGTAAGGGGTTAGCCTTGTATTTTGACCAAATTAAGGTAAATTTAGATTTTTCTCTAAAATGAAAAATTGTAAGGGGTTAACCTTGCATTTTGATCCAAATTGGGCAAATTTTGATTTTTCTCTACCATTCAAAATTGTAAGGAGTTAACCTTGTATTTTGACCAAATTAAGGCAAATTTAGATTTTTCTCTAAAATTAAAAATTGTATGGGGTTAACCTTGCATTTTGATCCAAATTGGGCAAACTTTGATTTTTGTGAAAAACATAAAAATTGTAAGGGGTTAGCCTTGCATTTTGACAAAATAAGGGCAAATATTGATTTTTCTCTAAAATTAAAAATTGTAAGGGGTTAGCCTTGCATTTTGACCAAATAAGGACAAATTTAGATTTTTCTCTAAAATTAAAAATTGTAAGGGGTTAGCCTTGCATTTTGACAAAATTAGGGCAAATTTTGATTTTTGTGAAAAACTTAAAAATTGTAAGGGGTTAGCCTTGCATTTTTGACAAAATAAGGGCAAATATTGATTTTGCTCTAAAATTAAAAATTGTAAGGGGTTAACCTTGTATTTTGATGAAAATTGGGCAAATTTTGATTTTTCTCTAAAAATGAAAATTGTAAGGGGTTAACCTTGCATTTTGATCAAAATAGGGCAAAATTAGATTTTTCTCTAAAATTAAAAATTGTAAGGGGTTAACCTTGCATTTTGATGAAATTAGGGCAAATTTTGAAATTGCTCTAAAATAAAAAATTGTAAGGGGTTAACCTTGCATTTGATCAAAATAGGGCAAAATTTGATTTTGCTCTAAAATAAAAAATTGTAAGGGGTTAACCTTGCATTTGATCAAAATAGGGCAAATTTAGATTTTTCTCTAAAATGAAAAATTGTAAGGGGTTAACCTTGTATTTTGATCAAATGAGGGCAAATTTAGATTTTTCTCTAAAATTAAAAATTGTAAGGGGTTAACCTTGCATTTTGATGAAATTAGGGCAAATTTTGATTTTGCTCTAAAATTAAAAATTGTAAGGGGTTAACCTTGCATTTTGATCAAAATAGGGCAAAATTTGATTTTGCTCTAAAATTAAAAATTGTAAGGGGTTAGCCTTGTATTTTGACCAAATTAAGGTAAATTTAGATTTTTCTCTAAAATGAAAAATTGTAAGGGGTTAACCTTGCATTTTGACCAAATTAAGGCAAATTTAGATTTTTCTCTAAAATGAAAAATTGTTAGGGGTTAACCTTGTATTTTGATCAAATGAGGGCAAATTTAGATTTTTCTCTAAAATGAAAAATTGTAAGGGGTTAACCTTGCATTTTGATGAAATTAGGGCAAATTTTGATTTTGCTCTAAAATTAAAAATTGTAAGGGGTTAACCTTGCATTTTGATCAAAATAGGGCAAAATTTGATTTTGCTCTAAAATTAAAAATTGTAAGGGGTTAGCCTTGTATTTTGACCAAATTAAGGTAAATTTAGATTTTTCTCTAAAATTAAAAATTGTATGGGGTTAACCTTGCATTTTGATCCAAATTGGGCAAAATTTGATTTTTGTGAAAAACATAAAAATTGTAAGGGGTTAGCCTCGCATTTTGACAAAATAAGGGCAAATATTGATTTTGCTCTAAAAATAAAAATTGTAAGGTGTTAACCTTGCATTTTGATCAAAAAAGGGCAAAATTAGATTTTTCTCTAAAATTAAAAATTGTAAGGGGTTAGCCTATACATGTACAGTGATAGTTAGAACAGTGTTTTACATGTAATGTGTGTTTTTGTCTTTTTTTTATTTTGTTATAAAAATGGTCAAGAACTGATGAACAAGCCTACAATAAGATTTTTGTGAAAAACATAAAAATAAGATTTTTGTGAAAAACATAAAAATTGTAAGGGGTTAACCTTGCATTTTGATCAAAAAAGGGCAAAATTTGATCCTTCTCTAAAATTAAAAATTGTAAGGGGTTAGCCTTGCATTTTGACCAAATTAGGGCAAATTTTGATTTTTGTGAAAAACATAAAAATTGTAAGGGGTTGGCCTTGCATTTTGACCAAATAAGGGCAAATTGAGATTTTTCTCTAAAATTAAAAATTGTAAGGGGTTAGCCTTGCATTTTGACCAAATTAGGGCAAATTTTGATTTTTGTGAAAAACATAAAAATTGTAAGGGGTTAGCCTTGCATTTTGACCAAATAAGGGCAAATTGAGATTTTTCTCTAAAATTAAAAACTGTAAGGGGTTAACCTTGCATTTTGATCAAAATAGGGGAAAATTTGTACACATGTGTACATAACACAATTACTGGGACAGAAACAAACAAAATCCTTTTTTTCATGGGTTATGGATGCAAACCTTTATTTTCAAGCGCAAGTCGTGTCTTAATACATGTACAGTGATAGTTAGAACAGTGTTTTACATGTAATGTGTGTTTTTGTCTTTTTTTTTAATTTTGTTATAAAAATGGTCAAGAACTGATGAACAAGCCTACAATTTTTAACAATGCTACAGTAATGTATTTACAGTAAAAATCTACTATATGATAATTCCGGGCTTATACACACAATTTGAAATGAAAGTGATGCAACAAACTGAGGTATATTAATGTCAAATTAAGAATCGCAGAACACGTTTATTTCTGTGTTTTAGGAATTCATCCATTTTGGCTTTGTCACTACCAGGTAATATGACATTGTTGCAGTTTGATGACTTTCAGACGATTCGGCATTGGGGTATAGTGGACTAATGGCTTTCCTCCTCGACAAGAAATTATTAATATCTGGGTCGATAATTCTCTTTCCTCCACCACATAGTTGCCAAAAACTGTCACAAAAAGTTTAAATTCATCAGGACAGAATAACCATTTGTGAAAAGTCTTGTGCGGATAGACCTTAAAGATGCAAAGATAAAGTGCATTCCTAATTTGAAATTGTCCTAAAAAGCAATTACAAACAAATGCTTTTTAACCAAAAGCTACATTCACACATCAAAAATGCAACCTTTTCACTTTTCTTTCAAAGGACCTAAAAAAAAAACCCGGCAGTTTCTTTTGGTTTAAACCGTTTTTATCTACCATCTTGACAGCGCATTCCAATTTCCAATCCACAGTGTTCCAACAAGTGTCAAAAACATCAACACATCTATAAACCAAAGTATTGTCAGTTCGTCAAATTATTTGGTTTTCAACATAATCAATTTCTACTCCGGAATTCGTCTCAAGGTACACTTTTCTTCTTCCACCGGAGAGCAACATTTTGAAGAAACGAAAGTGCTGGACATTTTTGTTACCTTCAACTTACTCACAGATTTTCACTCACAAAAATAAAAACATTTGCTTAATAATCACTTCAAAGACAAAATTATGTACTATGATCATAAAAAAGAAGCGCTAGTTAATCGCTTTGAACCTATTTACATAATCATATTAAGAAAATCCCTACTGTTTTGGACAAAATGAACTGAAATGTCAGTAGATGTCAGCTTAGATGATGAACTACATGTACAAGTGTCTGTAGCTGATGGAATAAAACGTTTAGTTAACCAGAATGCAAAAAGTTGACAACTTTCAACTGCTTGTAAATTACAGACAATACTACAAGTCATTGGAGTTTAAAAATTTGTGGGTTTTTTTTCGCAATGCTTTTTTCCTGGTAATTCATATTCAGTGACCCTTTTCAAACTTCAGGAGAGAATTATAGAAGCCTTGGTATTTAATTTAGCCAGACGTAACAATTTTTTTTCTCAGATAATAAAAAAAAATTTGAAATAAAATTTGTTTGGGACTCCAATCAAACAATGTTCAGAGAGCCGCTAAGCGCAGACATCTTCTGCTAAGCACAGTTAGGTTACCAGCTCAAATGCTATTTATTCTGCATTGAATATGACTGGATCCCAGCCGATTCTCGCTTAGCACGTAACCTTGCTTGGCGCAGAATATCTGCTGAGGAAAAACATGTTACCAGCCAAAATGTTAAAGAACTCTATTGGATGTCACTGGTGCCCAGCTGATTCTCGCTTAGCGCGTTAGCTTGCTTGGCACAGAATATCTGCTTAGTAAAAACATGTTACCAGCCAAAATGTTAAAGAACTGTATGGGATGTCACTGGTGCCCAGCTGATTCATGCTCAGCGTGTAAACTTGCTAAACACAGAATATATCTGCTTAGCAAAACCAGTTTACAAGCCAAAAAGTAATGCATTGTATAGTGTTTTTCACTGGTTCCCTGCTGATTCCTGCTTAGCATAGAAATCTGCTAGCAGTATTTTCCGCTTAGCAATTCTCTGAAAGTTGTCCATAGACCTACATGTATGTGTTAAACTAATGGTATTAAAAGAATTCAATTTGGTGCAGTGCTATATCTCAAGCGCAATGTGTTTTTTATACATAGTAATTGAGCAAACCTATAAATACGCGATTTTTAAAACTAAACTCCGAAAACTCTTAAATTTCAATCAAAGATTAAATATGAAAGTCACAAGTTCTAAAAAAATTCAAGAAAATAGTTTAAAATACTGTTGTTTTTTTAAGAATTCATTACCATTATTTAAAGGTCAAAGGTTATTACTAGCCTGGCTGTTTTCCCACTATAGGCATAATACAAGCGTTTCAGAGGCTACACAACTTTTTCAGAAAGAAAGTAAAAACATTATTATCGATGTTTATTCTTTATCTTACAAGCAAGGCTAACATTATTTTAGCATACACGATATAAAAAGCAGAACTGAATTTTCGTTAGTGTTTTTTTTTTAAGTATAGTATTTTCCTATTTCATACATTTAAATATTATACAATGGACTACAAATGACGAATCGTAGGATTTAGTTTTTCCAGAAAGGAAACAAAAAAGAAGGGAAAGAATGCTTGACGTTCGGGGAATTGATTTCAGTGTTACTGCTGTAACTTTTATGCTGTGTTTTGATTAAACAACGTGAACTAGTTCTTCAATTTTTATTGACTTCTCAGGAATTTTTCACAAGGAATTTCAAAAACCCAGCATGTGAAGTTGAACAAATGGCAGATTCGTTGAAATTGACTCTTTCGAAAAACAAAACTGGGCCATTCAAGCCCCAGTCCAATCAAAATCCATCAAAACACTGCAGACCAGACGTAGGATTTTATAGGATACGGGAAAGTTAGTCCCCAAAAAAGGTTCGAATATAAAATCTATCTGACTGTGAATTTTTATTTCCGAGAACATGCTAAGAAGGTGGGTGAAAAAAGCATGGAAGATTTGGGAACTACGTACGACACTTAAATAAAAACGCACCGAACTTGGCACCACGAGTAAGCAATCGACACCGAGAAATTGAAACGAAATTTACTTATTTATATCAAAGCTTTTTTTGTTTTTTTTGTACAAATCCTTGAGGCACTGGTTTTCAACAATCTCTCTTTTTTTTAACGTTTTGTTCAGTGGACGCGTACACGATAATACTATACAGTCACACACACATTCTAACTACATGTACATGTACATCAACCAAATTCAATCCACGTTTCTAATATTATTTTTTTTTCATTATGAATGAAAATAAACTGAGGTAATAAAAATGATCAATAAGTCTCTACCAACTTCCCAATGAAATAATTTTGTCTTTTTCCCCCACTTTTTGGGGCACAAGAAACAAAGAAGAGAACAAGTACAAAAACACCAGAAATTATTGCCCAAAAAGGTGAGTGAATTTCTAACGCCAATCAATTTTGAAGGAAGTACACTAAGGGGAAAAAGTTACAACAGGGAAAGAATTTCAATCTTTTACCCATGATTTAAACTATTTGATAATTCCTTCAATAAAATCTCGGTAATGGCAGTTAATAAAAAAAAAGTGATCAGAGCCCAATTTCATGAGACAGCCGAGCACAGATTGTAAAGGTAGAGTGGACCATTTGCAGCTATCAAAAACGTAACCGACCAAATTATCGTTAATCTTACTTGGTTGAAAGATTGTACAGACACTAGACTCCCTGTGAAATTATTCCTTCTGGCATGCTGTCATTTTGAAGAAAACAACAAAAGAAGGTCATTTCCAAAGATGTGCCAAGTGACACATTTATTGAAAATTTCCGTTAGTAGTTGCTGGCTTGATATTGGGTAAATCCGTGAGTGGGTGCAAGCTTTGACACGACGCACAAATGAATGCACGCACGCGGCGGCTATTCGCTGGTTCAGTGTGTGACATCACGCAGCCAAAATCGGCTGCATAAGAATCGTGTCATGATTTCGTGATTGTGTCACAAGAGGGCGCAATTCAAAATAGACTCGGCAACTTTTGGACTGACATCAAGATCCAGAATGTTGTGGTTTTCTCAAAATATACAGCATTCACAGAGCTAAACCTTCATCAAGTTTTGTACTTGTTAAGCATCCGGTCTTCAGATTTTAAGCACTTTTGTTGCTTCAAATGAAAATCAATGCACAAATGACAAATGGTCCATTCTACCTTTAACTTCATAGCTAAATCAGGTTACCGGCTAAAATGGCATGGAATACACTGCCTGTGACTGGTACTTGGCGCATATAAAATTTGCTCAGCAATACTTTCTGCTTAAAATATTTTCGCTCCACGAAATAAGTTAAGTGTATAGCTTCAGTGGTGAATAATAGCGGACAACACAAATTCTTCTCAGTGTAAAAGTGCAATTTCTTTTCATTCTCTGTAAAAAAACAGTGGCCTCTAAAAAGCTTTTTCCTGTACTGTGAATGATTCAAATCATTTCAATGTTGGGGAAAGACCAATACAGAAACTACAGCTACCGAATAAAAACATTTCGCAATTTTTTTTTTACAAGTTCCCCTAATTCTCCAAACACTATACACTCTTTCCAGCATTTAAAAGCCAACCAACAAAATAGCAAAAAAAACAATAATCCAGTCAAAAAGTTTCAACAAAAACGACACTCTTTGATTCAAGCAATGCATAGAAAAATACAAACTCAGTTCTGCTTGGAGTATTAATTTTTACAAGACTAGACGCCCATCGACGATTAACTCTAACCAATGTTTCATAACTCTATTTCATACTGTGAAATGCCTTATGATTGCTGGTCCCAGAGAACTGGTCTAGTGTCCTCTTCGTTCCTATCTCTCTGACTGACTGACTGACTGGTACTTGTGAGCCGGGCAGTGCTATTGTATAGGATTACCCCGTAACGCCAATGAATAAGCTAAATCCGGCCCGTAGTGTAGATAGGCCATCAGCCTACCGGGTATTCCAAAAATTGTGGCCGCCGGTATCAAATGAGGTGAGTATTCGTCAGAGCGATTTTTGGCAAGGTATACACCTCCAGAGTTGGAAAATATGCGATACAAATGCAGCATTGCAGTGTTGGCAGCTTTTTGGGTGTTATCGCCCTTCTTCCAAAATGTCCATCAAAATGCTTCTTACCACTCGAGGGGCGGTACATACTTTGCGCATGCAGCCTACTATCATTTATGCCCTGATTTGATACTGACCAAACTCCAAGGCTGATGGCCTAAGACCAATGCATGAAGACTTCAACATAATACAATTGAGAGTACTCTGGAACCAGCTTTACTGAACTTGCCTCATTTTGTTCTTCGCAGTTCACGAAACAAATTCTTTACCAAATCTACTCTCTCCACATATCAGCACCTGACCTGGACGACAAAAGAAGCCAGAAATATAACCACCGAGAAAAAAAATCCATAAATTCCTTCATAAGTTAACGGGGAAGAAGAAGAAAACAACAACAACAAAAAAGAGAAAGAAAAAAAGAACTAGAACAAAAGCTGTTTCTTTTATGCATAGAATTCCTTGGTGTCTTTCCAGTAAGTCGTGGGATCCTTGACTTTGTGGGGCTCGTCCAGCGAGTAGCTGCCTTCGTCTTTCTTCTTGACGCGGTAGATCATGAACATGATGATCAGGATGATTGTGATCAGGGTGAGTACAACTGCGCCGACGAGAGCTGAAGTTACAAAAAAAGAAAGACACAAACTTTCGTGATGAGTTACAAGTCTTGATAACGACAGGCCGATAGTGGAACGATCTCAGGGATAACAAGGACTGTCCAATGTAAGGGTGGGAAATTGCGACTTCTTTTAAATAATTGAATTCATGATCAGAGAGCTTGGGTTTGAATCCAGGTGTTGGTTACAATTTGTGTCCATGGGCAAGCAGCTTTACTCATATTTGTTTCTCTCTACCCTGGAATGGGTGTCAGCTTTTGGTAGTTGGGGAGTTTCCCAATCAAGGCTGGAAAGTATGGTTAAAAGGAATGCGACTCATGATTCGAAATCAGAGGGTCAAAGTGTGTTGCTGGTCACATGTTGTGTCCTTGGGCAAGCCAGTTTACTCTATTTGCTTCTCTCTACCCAGGATTAGTTACAAGCATTAGCTCAGGAGTAATCTGAGGAATCTGATCCGGCATCCCATCCAGGGGAACAGTAATATTTCTTCTTTTCATACTAAGAAACCTGAAGATACATATCCAGATGCTAGTCAGCTATGTTGTGTCCCTGGGCAACACATTTTACCCTAATTTTCTGGGCATGGGTTCTGGCATTGGTTACAGATTAAACTGGTGGACTTGAATATCTTTACGGGGGAAGAGAAATGTCATGATTGGTCTTCTTGCACTTGGAGTAAAACATGGGCCTGATGAGCCATTAGATTGGTTTCTTTTTTTTTACTTACCGGCTAAGAGAACGGGGTTGCTCAGAATCATTTCAAAGAAGTTCTGTTCTTTCTCCTTCTCGTCTTTGACGCCAAGTTGGTTGTTGTGATTGACGTCGTCGTTGATGGAGTTGGACATGGTGGTCTTGCCGTCGCCGGGCTGCGGCTTGGCGGTCATCGTCGTCGGGAAGAAGATGTCGTTGTCCGGGTTGCCCTTGTTGGGTCGCGCCGTCGAAGCGGTGTCTGGTTTCTGCGCGGAGGGAGAGTAATGATGGAAAATAGTCGGGAATTTGAACAAAAGTAGGCGACAAAAATTTGGAAAAGAAGGATTAAAATGAATGCAACACTGGGGTATAGTAGTGTGGGCGAAATTACCGTCTGCCTCAAGAGTGTGTTCAATGAAAATGAAAATTAAAATCTATCAGGATTTTCAATTTCTACTTACAACTGGTTTTGGTTTCTTAGTGGCTGGTACAGATGGTTCACCTTCACTGGTTGGCTCGGGTTCTGTAGTGACAACGTTGGAAGACAAAAAGTCATCAAGATGTTCAATATTTCAAATATTCTCCTAAAACAGTATTGTAAAGAAGACAACGATAGCAATCTTCAGATTTCACAAACGAGTGTCTCCAGCTACTGTCTGATGCTCCCCGACGTCTGATCAGCTTTTGCAATTTTCCGATGACAAGTGTCGTCAACTCTATCGCAAGTCCTCGCAAGCGCTTCTCAAGTCAACCACAAGTCATCCCGTCTCAAGTCAAGTTGAAAGCTATTCGTATGAAGTGTGGCCAAGGCATTCCACTGTAGTTTGATTTCCCGTTACTTGCGGCCACATTTGTGAACCGAGTTATGCATGACTTGACTACAACACTGCACGCCACTCATTTTTGCAAAGCTGCGTGTTGTTGCATTCGCAGAGGTCTCTACCCAAAGTACCCTGGCAGGATCGGGCTAAGGCAGAGATTTCTTTCTGGACCCAAAGGGCCCAATCTTCTGTCCTCTGATTGACTGAGAAGCTGATTATTAATAATGCCTAAAATTGTCAATTTTGGGTCAACCTCAACAAGGCAAGCTGAGCTTTGCTCTTTCGTACTGACCTGTACTGCTAGGTGCCACCGCGATGCTCTGCGGGTCCACGTTGAGCGTCACGGACCCGTCCGTCAGGGCCCGGTCATTCAGGCCTTCCTGGATAGCGGTCTCGAGGTCAGTGGACGTGACGGCCGCGTCCTCGGGGAACGTGATCTTGGTCTTGACCACCAGACTGCCCGAGGTGATCGAGACACCCACGCAGGACTCCGTCATGCTGGTCAGCTGGTTCTGCTGCAATCTGTACGTCAGCTTTGCAAAGCAGAAGAAGTGGACATAAGATTAGAGCTGCGGTTCAATAGTTACGGAGCTCGACCCGTGCGCTACGGTACGTGGGCCCGAACCCCGACGGGGAACATGGGGCTTGTGTTCTTGGGCAAGGCACTCAACTACAATTGCCTCTCTCCACCCAGGAGTACAAACGGGTACCTGAGACCAGATTGCACTGACCTTGTGCTGCTGCAGAAAATGGTCTCATAGCCTGATGACCAGGGGTAATAATTAGAGCTTTAACTCTTGTGCTTTTGGTGCAATTTAGCACACATCCGCTAGGTATGCCGATGGACTCCAGCTGAAGTGTATTGGAGGATGCATTAACTCCCCAGCCAAGTAAACACTGAAGTGCATAAGAGGACACTATCAATGCAACTGATTTGTGAGGGATTAGGACATGTAGTAGGGCCTGGGAATCTCATTTTGGACTTGCCATTTGACTAGGAGAGGGAAGAAAGTCTTCATTTTTTTCCAGTTTTTTTTTTTTAATAAGTCATCAACATCTACCGGTATATTTTCAAATTGAATACAGTCATAATGATTCGATAAACAAAATCTATTAAAGCGGCTTTATGTACAGCAGTCTTTTTTTTTTGCAACTAGGAGGTCAATGACATACCAAAAGAATGAACCATGTTTATATCAAGGACTTTTCAAGCATGTGCGTAATTCCATTTAGTGAACAAAATTTGGGGAAATTAAAAGACATGCGGACAGGCAACCCTTCAAAGTTTAGAGTTGATTTCGAAGTAATATGAATCGATTCCAAAGAGTCACCCGGGCGTAGTGGTGGTGAACCATTCGTGCCACAACAATGTATCGAAATACAAATAAGGGGCAACTTGAACAGTATCACTGACAGCTAAAAGGACAGACAAACAAACAAACAAACGTACAAACAAACAGACAGACTTACCACTGAGCAGACTTGGCCAAAGACCTGCATGGACTGTATCGAGTTGGGGTCATTGTACTCCTCGACGAAGACCGCCTTCTTGTTGCTAATCTTCATGATCCTCATGGTGTTGTCGAACGACGGCTTGACGGGCGCTGCAGAGAGGAGGGGAAAATAAATAAGATGAACGAGGAATTAACAAGGAGTGAATTCGTGATCCTGATGCTGTTGTCAAATGACGGCTTGACTGGTAGGGTACTATGAGAGAAAAACGAATAAGAGACACCTAAATCAGCAGATGAGTGAAATTTTGACCGAGCATCACCGCCCCTAAACCTGGTACATGTAGCTTGCTCTGCCATTCAGTGTTGAGGGTGAACATGTTTTCTTGTACCGAAGCTTACATGAACATGGTCCTTGTGCTCTTGAGCAAGGCACTTTACACTTTAGCAAGGCACTTTGCTTCGTCCTTCGGATGGGAGGTAAAGCCGTAGGTCCTGTGTGCACGTTAAAGAACCCAGTAACACTTATCGATAAGAGAAGGGGTTTGCGCCGGTGTTTCTGGCAGTGGCTGCAATATATGCGCCGCAGCACCTTGTATACCCTTTATAAAGATGCTACATAATGGGTCTCATATTTCTCATAAATTTCATTTACCTGTTGTTAAAAAAATATACATAATTACCAGCGCCTTGAGTACCTAATTGTTGGTAGATAAGTGCGCTATATAAGACTCCGGTATTATTATTATGAACAAGAAACTGTAGTATTATATAACATTATCCATTTCTCTCGCCCGATTTATGCACTGAAACATGTGCAAAAAAAAAACAACCAAATTAAAGTATCGACACATTTATGAGTACCAAAGTGTGCCATTATTTCGAACCGGGAAGTGTAGTGCAAACAAATGGTGTACCGGTACGCGCGCGTGTTGGTTCACTGGCTGAATCGCGCGCTAACGTCTTTTAAACACATAATTGTGCGCGTGATGTATTCACTTCGGTACTCTCTGATAAAGACTAAATCCGTGATGATTTCATTTCTACAGGAGAAATTTGAATGCCATTGGGTGAGCACAAAAGGTTGTTGAACCTAAAGCAGGTCAGCGCCCAATTTCATAGAGCTGCTTAAGCAGAAAATTTGCTTAAGCACGAAAAAACATTGCTTAGTAAAATTAGGTTACCGGCCAAAACTCCATGTGATGTACATTGCTTGTGACTTGTATTTAGCTGTTGTTTACTTAGCATAACAATCACATGGAGTTTTGGCCGGTAACCTGATTTTATTAAGCAAGACGTTTTTGTGCTTAAGCAAAGTTTGTGCTTAAGCAAAGTTTGTGCTTAAGCAGCTCTATGAGGTGCTTAAGCAAAGTTTGTGCTTAACCAAAGTTTGTGCTTAAGCAGCTCTATGAAATTGGCCCCTGGTACCTATAAAAGTAGGTTATGACACATCTGATCTATTTTTAATTGCACAGAAATGTTCTGTTCCTTTTTGCCGCCACCCCCCCCCCCCACCCAAAAAAGGTACATTTACATCTGCATGAGCAAGGTTCTACTATACATTAGCACTAATGTGATGCTGTACATTTACGATCAGCCTTTAAACTCGCAGGTGGCACAACAATATCCCAAGGTGTCACAGAACACATTTCATTCTCTGCCCTTCCTTGCCCTTCAACTACACGTAAATAAATGAAAAGCCCCCAACCTTAAACCCACTGAGGTGAACTGCACTACCGCAGGCGGGGCAGTGTTGAAAGCCTTGCACTTATTGACTGGTTTTTGAAGAGATGTTTTCGTGTTGTACAAAAAAAAAAAATTCTTTTCTTTTTCCAGTCAGAGTGCAAGATTGCGGAGAGGGGTACCAGGAACAAGCTGGTTAACGCGTCCCGGAGGTAAACTACGTGTACGTGTCTGCAGAGATTTTTGTCAAGAATGCGTTCATGTTTATTGCACTGAAGTGGGCAAATGTAAACATACATGTACAGTGGCCCTGAGGGGCCATGGTGAAGTTATGAAATGTTCACAACAACGTTTTGCGAATGTTTGGCAGGCAATGTGACTTATTCTGTCAATGATGAGAAATGTGCCCACAAATCTTCCCATGAGAATTTCCTTTTTCAGGGGCATTTTTCAAACTATTAACTTCGATTGGGAGTATGTCCTGTCTGGGCCACCATACACACATATTTTTTCCGTCAACATGGAGAGCTGGAGATGCCTTCGAAGAAAACAGTCGGGAAAGCGATTTCAACGTCAGAAAGCTGCTCCTTAACTGACCTTTTTAGTTCATTAAGCTCGATCTTGGGCACGCACCGATGGAGAACAATATTGAGGATCGTCAGCGTATTTTTGCTCCTAGATTGAACACTGCTATTCTTGAAACAGCTGTTAGAAGGCTTGACATTTAGTCGGATGTTTTTGGAAAATGGCAAGTTCGGTCAATAGTGCATATCAGTCGGACTCGTAGAGAAAAAAAAAGGTCGATTGTGCAAGCCGTTAATTTAGAATCGAAGATAGGTTTTGAAATGCCGTCATGACCTCTTCTCTTAAGTCGGGCATATTTTTTTGCGGCGGTGGTTTGTCTTGTTTTGTAGTTGAAGAAATCTGAATGCCAAAAAATGCCAATGGGATTTTTTTTGTTGATTTTATGGATCTGACAATGAATTTACAACATGAAGGCCTATAATAATCTTGGCTGTGGTTAAGACATCTGCACTAGTCAGCAGAAGGTCGTGGGTCCAAGTCCCACCCTAACCAGCTTGTAAACAATCTTCTTGCAGCAATAAGGCCTTTGCCTATTATGATGGTGAAAGGCAAGTCCCAAGATTTGATGAAATATTTGACATTTTCAGAAGCCTTTTATTCCTGTTCTACTGGTATGAACTAATTTTCAACCTCCACAACAAAACTTTAAGTCCTATTTACTTTTCTTTCTTTTTTGTAAGTACAATATATAACCCTTGGCTCTCTGGCTAAGATGCAACCTCAATCCTGCAAAATCATCCAATTGCCACCAAAATTACAAAAATGTAGATCTATTCAGCCTCAATCCTCCAAAATTATCCGTTATTTCTTGACATTAGTCTGTGGAGGGTGACCACTGCCTCAATCCTCCAAAATCCTCTGCCAATTACTGCTACATGTATGGTTTAAAGCAGTGCGAATGGCGTTTAGAAGCAGTGTGGATGAAATATGAGAAAAACACAGGGCTGATTTATGCATGGCTGAACATAACCAGTGCAGGATATGGCCTACTGGCTTGATGTAATGCATCTTCCACACAAAAAGCGATACATCTTTGCCATTCATCCTCAATCCTCTAAAATCATCCAAAACCGGCAGGAGGATTTTCGAGAATTGAAGAAAGTAAGGGTAAAAAAAAAAAAAAAAAATTAAATAAAAAAATGGAAGGCAGTCAAGTTTGAAACTTACAGACACCATTCTACTAATAATTTAAAAAAAAACATGAGAGAGGATACAGACTTGTTTTGATACACCGTGTAAATCAAGCAAGACTTTCCGGACATTGACTAATTCTACATTTATGTATGAGCACCTGCTGCAGATAAATGATTGCTGTTACCACAATCACTTCAGCCTGTGGTGCATTTATAATCTGTCTCAGCAGTGTCCGACCGTGTTTAACCAGCACAGCCTACGCAAACTTTTTTTGAAATCAAAACAAATGAAAACCAACTGGAAAGGTTTCTTTGTCTGAGTCACTCGCAAACCCCCCCCCCCGCCCCCCAAAAAAAACCCCACCTAACGTGCCTTATTAAGGGAATATAACATTTGCAAACGTAAAAAAAACACTACCAAATTATTTGGAAAAGCCTTGCTGGACTGTTAGTGAATTGCAGTCTAAAGCATCCTAAAAAATTGTGGCACCAGGTGTGCTGAAATTTTCAAGAAAAGTGGTATCATTTTCCAACACTGGCTTTTTTACCATTACCATGGTAATGGTAAAAAAAAATTACCATAAAATTTACCATTTTACCGTGTGCTGAAATTTTCAAGAAAAGTGGTATCATTTTCCAACACTGGCTGTTTTCAAATACTGCCCGCAATTTACCATATTTAGTTAGTCTGCATTTTGTTTGCAATCAATTACACATCTATGAACGGGTACAAGCCAGCTAGACTGGTTTCCTGACCTTATAATTCCCTGATGTCTATAAATTGCTCCGTTTCTTCTTAAGTAGGGTCAGAGAACCAGACTACAAGGACATGATTGTTTTCTCAGTTTTTTCTAGCATCTACGAACACAAAACTTCAAACAAGTCAGTGTAACAATATTTGCTATCAGATATTAACCCCAGAATCCAGCCATTTCTGAAAATTACAGCAAAAGCAAATGTTGTATATTCCCTGTAAGAGTCGGTATAAAGAAAGAATACATGAACATACCGGTACATGTACATGTAGGCTACATGTACATGTACGTGTTGAAAATTGAAATGCTATGGACAAGAGTCTGGAAAAAAGGGGGGAAAAAAATAACAAAAACAAAGGCTGTTTCGGCAAATTGCCAAAACAGACGAAAAAGTCCCAAGGATAATACTGCATGTGTAATGAATTACCAACCCACTGCGTTCATGTTGGCTTTTTTTTGTGGGTCCAGACCGGACTTGGGGGCCTGAAAAAGAAAAGCTAGAATTTCACGCCGAGTTTCCAGGATTTCAAGATAAAAAGTAGTTGGGATGTGAGAAAAAGCCAGCAGGGGTTAGAGACCGTGGCTGGCACGAACAGGGACAAGGGTGTGAGATTAAAGTGTCGTTGGTTATTATAAAGCTGGAATGCTCGCCAATCGCCCAACGGCTATGGTGTGACTGTAATTGTTTTCTCTCTTCTTAAAAAAAGCCTCCATTTGTTACTTTTGTAGTGGTTGACTTAAAAACAGGCAAGGTTGTTTAACCCTCCTGCTGACTGAACAGTCACAGACAGTCAAACAATCAATCCTCTTCCCCTGCCATGCCTTCTACACAGACTAGTCACCAACAGACAAAAGCAGGCAAGTGGTGGGCACAGCTGGCTTATCAATCACCTACAGTCAAAGCATAGCTGTACCAAGTTACATAAACAGTCACAGCCAGTCAATCCTGCTTTATGTAAGCTGGGAGCTCTAACTGTTACAAAACAGTCACTTGACT